ATATTGTGTTGTTATTGCCCTTCCTATTATAATTATCATCATCATAGGAATACTTATTGGAAGTTGAAATTTCTTGAATCATCATTATTCAAAACATGTGGTGGCAAACTCCATTTAAAGTAATTGAAACCCAACCATTTGATAACTGGAAAGCACTTACAACCCATTTGCATGGTTTGCAGGTTATATGACTACAAAGGCAAAGCTATCCTTTTGTTAGGTAAACTTCTGAAGCACGCTACCATCTTTAGTCATGGTCAATAATTTAACTTTCCCATAACTGTAGTCCAAGTGTTAACTTTACGAGTTGTAAATGTTTGTTACACTTGTCATGTGTCTTGACTTCTTTACTGTGGAAAGAAACCAGTCAACAAATGCTTTCATTGCAGTGAGCAGGACATATGAAAAGGGTTTTTAGTTGACAATATGTGAGAAATGGAAAAATTTCAGTGTCCATAGTGCATGCCTTTCTAAATGGTAGGGATAAACCATTATATTTTTGACGGGGGAAGGGGAAGCGGAAGGGTGGGGTTTAAGCAATCACCAAAAATAACATTCTGGCAAAAGGAATAATGTAAAAAATATGGTTCAAAGGGAGCCATGCAAAACAAACATAGCAATCTTGCACAACCTGATGCTGGACAAAATTTCTTGCTCAGAAAATTGCCCCTTCCCCCCACCCCCCCTCCCATTAAAACAATATTGTTTATCCCCCAAGGCTCAACATCAACAAACAATTTCTCCTGAATGGTCTCCAAATATATCTTGTTGTATTCAGATGTTGTCAAAACAGTCTTCTCTAGTCATCATCCTTGTGTTCTCATGACCTGTGTCTTTGTTAAAGACCTTGATTTTTCAAGCAGCCTGATCAGTAATGGGACTTTCAAGGGTTTATAGACCCATGCATTTTATAATCAAACAAGAATCTGATTGTGAAATGATAAGCCTAAACTGCAACTTTGCCTAGCAGTTAAAGACATGTAGTTTGTTTCTGCCTTACAAATTTTGAAACACATTGCCATCACCAAATTGGAAGTTTTCATTTGAAGCCGATGGCATGTTATATGTTGGGGTGAGAGACCTGAAGGACCCTTCTGGCAATCCTGGCCCATTTCATACATTTGGAAAAAATGCTCTGTAATCAGCATGTGCACTTCCAGAATGAAAGCTATCAGACCCTAAATGTGGTTGGGTTAGAAGCTGGATCATTTTAAATTCATGTTCACGGGATCTATTCATTTCTTCTCGCAAGAAGTTGATCAGCTCTTTCGTTGGATCATTGTTAACAACCTCTTTAACTAGCTCCGTGGTTTCCATAATAGCAGCTTCGAGTTTTTCCTTCGGTTTTCCTTTCTTCCTTTTCTTGATAGGAACAAAAAGTCCCCCTTCAGAATCCTCATTATTTTCCAGATGATCTTGAGAAGATTTATCTGAATCAGCTGATTTGCAAGACTTCTCTGAACTCGTGGACTGCTCTAACGAAGAAGGCTATATGGCTTGATCTGGTTGACAAGAATCCCTTGTCTGAACCACTTCAAAAAGAGGCTTAAACCAGTTTCCATGCCCTCGGTCTTCCTGGAAGCTCTTGATCCCCGTGGGTATTCGTATGGTGAGTGCTGCTTGTTTGCAGTCAGTAACACATTTTTTGAACTTTGTCCGCAGTTGGTTCACGCTGAATTTAAACTCTTTACCCCTTGCAGAAGCCCTTTTTTTCAATTCGGTCAAAATTTCCGCATAAATTTTACCGTTCCTTTGACACTTGGTGTTAGTAAAAATGAGCTTTCTCTTGCAGTAAGTACTGCTCACTACAATTTCATTGAAGTCGTCAATGTCCCCAGAGCTCCAAGGTGATTTACGTCCAGATTTCTCTTTCCTTCCCTTAGACTTCTTAACAAAAATTCTTAGTGACCCTCCTTCCTCAACCTCATCATCACACTGGATTTCTCGGCTATGTCATCATTTTCCAATTTATCATCTTCCACTCTACCAAATAA